ATGATAATTTCTTTCCAAAGATGGTCAAATACTTTTGTTTCCTTGGACTGTTTTGATGCTATCACTCACTACCCAATCATTTGCCATGAGTTCTGTATCTCTCTCCTCATAGAAAATACAATTTTAAATAGGTGGTATTAAATTGTAAATTACGACTACGTCTTTTCGTACAATACGTTTGATTTCACAGTCCAACAAAATAACATCTCATGTTGCATACTAAAAGATGATCATAGTATATGATTGAATTGGATGCAAAATCCACATAATTTGAATGAAGATGTATAACATACACGTTCAGATTGGTTATGAATAGCAGCAGCCCTACTCCTCTTTGTTGAAACTGAGGATTTTCCAGTACTTCGTTTCTTTCTGTCATCTTCATCTCCTGCCTCCCTCTTCAAAAATAACAAAACAACAAGTAATGATAAATAAACAAATCAAATAAGTAAATAAAATAACTAAACAATCATCAGACGAATAAATCCATTAACTTATTTCTTATAATCATTGAAAATGTTTGTATTAATTAGCAGAGTAAAAGGAAGGAGAGTTTGCCTGTGGTCTACTGTGACAAACGGAGTCATGGTCGCTTGCCTTTGTACTGTCAAGTGTGACAGGCTGATTGTCCATCCCAAACGTCGCGCTACCGCTCACGCTCTGGGATCTGCTGCTCCACTCCGGTGTTTCGGGGACACTTGACAAACTCCCGTGTTTCCCTGAAAGCTTGGTGTCGTCATCCTGGGTGGCGGCGCCTGTAGCGCCACTGCAGGACTCCACTCTAGTGGAACACCCAACCACGTCCGAGCCTGAAATCACAACAGGCATGGACATGGACTCCATCATATGATTACTTGAGTTATCGCTTTGGTTTCTGCAAGGAACCAAAGCGTCCATAGTCATAGTGGTGGAGGGCGTTACTGCTGTTGAACGAACAGCGGCAGCGCGATGGTGATCAAACCAGCTTACTAGTTCCCCATTAGCGCCGCCACCGGAAGAATTGAAGGGTGGTTTACTGGGAGGGGCCAAAGTAGAGGTGGCTTGGTTAACTATTGACTCGAGGGTACCACTTGCCCGGGGCTTGTCCCAGGTGGTGTACTTCGCAGTGGTTAATGAAGGCTTCGCCTGCAGGCGCGGCAGACCTAAGCCGTGCATGGCTACCTGGCCGTTTTCCCATGTCAGCTCTGCTACTTCATAGTCCAACCTGCATATACATACAATTAATTTAAGTGCTTCACTTGGATAATTAATTAACCGAACCATGTACATATATAACAAGGAGAGAGAGAGAGAGAGAGAGAGAGAGAGAGAGAGATTCATACATGGGGACATCAGCAGATGGAGTGGAAGAGCGAAGAGAGAGCCTAGGAGCAGGAGGAGTAGAAATGTCATCAAGATCCCAACTGGGAACACACTGGTTCATTTTGAGACCAAGATACTTCACTTAATTTGAGTTTCTTGTGTTAATGTGTAGAGCAGAGAGAGAGAAGAGAGTAATATACTTCTTTCTTCTACTTCTTCTTCAATTATTTTGTGTTAATTTGTGTGAAACAGGACCGGCTCCGAAGTGTTTGAGATTGAGAAAAAGGGGCAATGACAAGTTGCTGAATGAGAGAAAGAGAGAGAGAGAGAGAGAGAGAGAAAGGGGCCGGGTCATTTTTTTATGTCCCAGTGCTGGTGGCTAATAATAGCAATGGAAATTAAGGAAATGTCTGACAGGCTTTATTGTATACTATCTGATATTAGGAGAAAATTACAGGTACCGAAAAGTTGTTGCAGCAATAAAATAAAAAAAAGAAGAGTTCATTCAAAACAAAAATCTTTGAGTCCGTACGTGTCAATGTGTGTGTGTGTGTGTGTTTGCACAGCAATGATACATTGATTTTCTTACAGGTGTCTGTAATGTAATAATGTAATGTGTAGTGTAGATTAAATGATGGGAAGATGGGGACGTCCCTGGCTTGATTTGTACAACGGAGAATTACCACCCAAGACATGTTACATATACACATATGCTCAATGATGCAAGACTGTAGGATGAGAAAGAGAGAGAGGGAGAGAGGCCTTCTTTTGTGTGCCAGTCGACCGTCCATTGCACGTGCATTATCGGTTGATCGATAGTCATAATATCATCGTATATGTGAAGAATTGTACAGGTCCTTACAAAAGTCCTAAATCTCCTTGTATTCCAAATACTATGTTGAGGAGTTTAGTACGATATAAAGTAATATACATCATATTTCATCCACTTATAGATTTATACTATACGTATAATTTGCAAGTAATGGCATGTATTCGAAATTCAACTCAAAATCTTATACCTAATAATAATTATGAGAGAGGGTGGGTCATGAGGGTTTCCCATTACCAAGAGAAAGACAAAGGCAAATTAATGAAACTTTCTTCCTATCACAAACTGAACATGGAATAGATTATGTGGTAGAGAGAAAGAGAGAGAGAGACAGATATATCAAGGGGTGAATTGTGGTGTGAAATGAATTGAAGGCAGAGTTCTCAGCCTAACCAAAAAAAACAAACACGTAAGACAGTTTATATTGGAAACTGCGCGTGGGAAACTGGATTTTTTGGTAAAGGGGCTGCTAGTGAGTGAGTGAGTGATGTAAGGATTTGTACGCGGGTGATGTGGTGCTATTACAATGGATATTAGACACCTTCTCCTTCACCCACAGCTCATCGCCACGCAGCAAGCTTCTATTTAATTTCTTTGAAGAGTTAAGGTCCCAACCTCCGCCAAGATTTGACCGCCCCTTTTGTTTTGTAAGTTGCAATGTCACTGTTGTACGGCTAGAGAGACAATGGGCGGGGTCTCATTAAAGTTTGTTCAAGGCTTTCCTCTTCAAATACCAATAAATCGACTCAATTCAATGACTGTGAATAGGGATTAGATTTGATCCTTAAATGAGAAAACGAGCACACTTAATTCGTTTGGTAAATGTTCCTGTAGAAATTTGTTCCAATCGGGTCGGTTCGAATCAGTTGGTAACCGATGATTTTCTTGGTTAGAAAAAAAATAAAACCATCTATTTTTAGTCTTGCAGTATTTTAGCTCTTATTATATTGGAAGAGGTCTTAAGTTCAAATTTCAAACGCCTTAGGCACGACCCTAGTGCGACAAAGCTAAAGTGAGCTTTGCAAGCCTAGGTCACTTCCCATAATACCACGTACGTGTCTCACCAAAATCCATATCCAATGGGCCAACGGCCCGAACATAATACATGGACAAGTGTAACAAGTAGATGGGCTTATAATGGGCTTTGCATCCACTTCTACCGATAGCTTTGAGGAATCCATTTTGATGTGGTTCTGTATTTCATAACCGAAAAGAGGAAAAGAGGGAGCAAAGATCATGCAGAGAGAGAGAGAGAGAGAGAGAGAGAGGTTGACGTTTGATGCTTTAGAAATAGGTGTTGTATTGGCAGTTTGTTTACAAGATAGATATTGCTTTTGGCAGATATCACGAGGAAAGATATAGCTTTTGGCATGTCACGAGGGCCAATTTCAATGAAATAATAATCACTCACATTTCCAAGTCATACTAACAAAATGTCAGCTGCTGGCATGATGAGATGCAAAATGTCCAAACAACGACATTCTCAAATTAGGGTTCTTGTTACATTCTCATATATCTAGTTTTATTTTTTCAGTTTTTCCCACACCCAAAGTTCGTTGACTGAATGTTACCCTAGCCAAAAATAAAAAGTAGTTTTGACAAGTTTATGGGAAGTTGTATTTGAAGGGCTTCCAAATTGCCAATTTATTAGTAAAATGATATTAATCCTTTATTTTTGAAGTATTCAGACTTGTTTACCAAATAATGTGATAGCTGATACATAGTAATCTTTACTCTATAAAAATAAATCATTATTACCCTATCATGTGGCAACAACTTTAGTGAATAAAACTTGACGAATAAGTTTGGTGATTCGAACATTAATTATTCATAACGTCACGCTATCACGTAATATGTAAGGACTTAAGTTTCAAATCCTATATGGAAACTTGCATAGCATTCCCTCAAATTATTATCCAATAATCAAATAATGGGTTGATAATTAAGTGCTTCACTTGGAGTTACTAATTAATTAACCAAACCATATGTATATAACGCGGAGAGAGATCAAAAAGTTACATGAGAAGCACGTTACAATCTGTAATTCAATATCTGAAAAATCATAAATTAGATTGATTCATGTTATTGAATAATACTCATGGATGAACCCAATAATAATATCGAAAAACTTAGTTGAATCTTTTATCAAAACTTGTATTAGCACAAGCAATCGCCAATAAATTGTAATCAAAACCCAACAAAAACACAACTCTTTTGAGTAATATCTCATAGATTTAGCATTCCAAAATTAGATGATCCTCTCCATATCCGATTATCAATCCTAAAATGCAACCCAACAACAATGATAAAGGTTTCATTGCTCACTTCACTCTCTTCTTGATTACACCTGCCAAAAAAAAAAGCACAAAAAGGAAAAAAGAAAAAGAAAAATGCAATTATTATATTATTACGTGGAAATAAAGCGCAAAAGATAGCATGTTTATCCTAAAAAAGTAATTTGAGGTGTACTTGTTTTTATTTAAGGTAGGACTTGGGAGTTTTGAGTTGTACTTTCCAAACACAGCCAAATTTTGTTACCCCTCACATGAGACAAACTTTTAATTTGCTTTCAAAATCGAATGATGCTCTCGTTATCGCCTCCGAAAATATATGATGCCAAAGACTCATCTGTTGATCATTCCCAGCCCAAAACCAACAACAAGATCACAACTGATCCTCTACCAACCACTCCACTCGTTATAACTACATCCTCCAATGATCTCGTTCCACGTCATCAAAACTTCGTTTTGGCCAATGAATTTCACCTCTAGTCATAGAAAACCGTCGGTGGCGCTGCACTGGATAACAGAATCGTTTTTTCTTCCTCACTTACATTAACATTTCACACACACACTTTATTTATCCAAAATCCAATATTTTTTCCAGAATGTAGAGAGAGAAAGACAGGGAGAGAGAGACTGTGATTAACAAAAGATTAGATTTTTGCAAACCCTAACCCTAATTAGTGAGCTTTTATTAATTAATTTATTTGCTTTTGCCCTTTTATTTGCTTTCTCTTGAGCTTTGATAAATGTCATATTCACCAGACAGAAAATCTGGTAGCCCAATAAAGTCACAAGTTCTGAAGAGGCCGAGGCCATTGAGTCTCCCAGACCAAGCTCTCAAGTATGTTATCACGAAGATGCAGCTTCAGAGCCACCACCACTACAGCTCCCTCTCTCCTTCAACTGCTTCACCTTCTCCTCACTCTGAGCCTGACCTCTCTTCTGGCTTCAATTCCCTTACCCTAGACCCTCCCGGACCAGATTCCACCTCCCTCTTATCCGATGAGCTTCTCCTCTCCGTCTTCGCCAAGCTCCCAATTTCCCAGTACCTCCCCAACTCCCTTGTCTGCAAGCGCTGGCTGTACCTCCATGGCCGCTTGGTGCAATCTGTAAAGGTCTTTGATTGGGGGTTTTTGGACTCGGGTCGGGTCTTCGCCCGGTTCCCCAACCTCACTGAGTTTGATATCGTCCATGCTTGCATTCGGTCTCCGCGGAATTCGGGGATTCTTGTGACGAGGAAGGCTTTGACTGTTCATGTCGACTCGCTTTTCAGCCCAAATGGGTTTATTGAGGAAAGTGATGTGTTGAAGAACAGTGTGGTGGATGATGGGCTCAGGTTGATTGCCAGTTCGTACCCGAATTTGCGCCGAATTGCGGTCATAGGTGCGAGTGAAAATGGGTTGTTGAGGATTGCTGAGGATTGTCAAACACTGCAGGAATTGGAGCTGCATTGTTGTGGAGACTTGGCATTGAAGGGAATTAGTGCGTGTAGGAACTTGCAGATTGTGAAATTGATTGCTTGCGTTGATGGGTTTTACAAGGCAGTGATTTCGGATATTGGGTTGACAATTTTAGCTCAGGGGTGTAGGAGGTTAGTGAAGCTTGAGCTTTGTGGGTGTGAAGGGAGCTATGATGGGATTAAGGCAATTGGGCAGTGTTGCCAAATGCTTGAGGAGTTGACTCTCAATGATCATAGGATGGATGGTGGGTGGTTGGCTTCTCTGCCCTTTTGTGGGAATTTGAAGACTTTGACGCTTCAGTCTTGCAAGGACATTGATTCGAGCCCCGGCCCTGATGAGCACTTGGGATTTTGTCCCACCATTGAGGGGTTGCATTTACGGCGGTGTCAAGTGAGGGATAAGCATGGTGTGAGAGCATTGTTCTTGGTGTGTGAGGCTGTTAGGGATATTGTTCTGCAGGATTGTTGGGGGTTGGTGGATGAAGTATTTGCATTTGCGAGTATTTGTAGGTACGAGATTTTTTTTCTTCCCTCATTTGTGCTTATCTCTTTTTGTTGTCTGAATCATTCATACCATGCAAACCTTTTAATTGATTTTAGATCTGTGGTCCATTTATCATTAGTTCTTCCAGTGAAAGATTGGATTGGAACTTGTGAGAATAATCTCTGCCTTTAAGGCTACAACTGCCTTGAAAAGGCAGGCCCATTTAAATCTGTGACTCCACTATCTTGTCCCAGCTTTGTTGTGTTTACTGAATGCTTCTAATCCGGTCATCCAAGGCTAACTAAGTAATGTTATAGAGATTTGAAATGTGAATAGTTTTCGGGAACGATGATCATGAAAATCAGACTTTACACTAAGGTTTTGTGGCCTCTATCTCCCATGATATTCGATCCAGGCACTTGATCCTTGTAGAGTTCCAAATATCAGAATGTCTCAAATAGCTTCACTAAATTCCTTGTTTAGATCTATTTTTTATGATTTGAATAGATTCCTTGATAATTACATTTATAATCTTAATCATAGGTAATGCAAGGATTTTATGAGTTATTATGAATTGTCAACTCTAAAGTTTTAACGTGTGGTGAATTGTTACCTGTGAATTGGCCAAAACCCAATTAACTCTAAGTTTTAAAGTTATTCAATAAAACTTACACAGTTCTGAAGGTTGCACAATGAGGAGTCTAGTATCAAATATGTTTCTGAACTAAGAAAGTTCATGAGAATAAGGACAAAGTTTATGCCTGTTAATATACCTCATTGTACTCTAACAGAATTAGGGTATAATTAACAGAATTCAGATATTCCTTCTCATTTATCGAAGGAGTTGCCTAGTGTGTTGCAGTTTTTTTTTTTCTTTATCAAAGTCTCTGTTGTTAATTACAAACTTGTAGTCGCTTCTCCATCCCAAACGACCTCTTTTCTCCTTATCTCTCTAAACTGCAGACCCAACTTGTTTCTCACCATCCCAAGCACGTAGGATTGTCAATTGGACGAGCTGGTAAAGTAAACCCTGTGACTTTTACTCACAATCCTGAAACAAGAGGACACCAGCTAAACCACCATTCCAAAGAAAAGCCTTTGTTAGAATAGTCAACATTACATTGGCTGTAGAAAACCATAGCTCGAGATCAGTCTCAACTCAAATAAATCTCAGTCCAAAAGAAAATTGGAATTCACACTAAGCAGTCCAATTGAAAATACCACAAGCATAAGACTCTTAAAAGTAGAATTCACAAATATGTCATATGTCGTAGGTTTAAAAATGAATATACTTTTTATTTTACGAGTTGGAGAACACTAATTTGCTATGATTACATAATTATGCGGTGTAATTCTTTTCCTACTACAAGTTATACTGCAATTATTTTGAATTTCCATGAAGAGACATAGCATACCTGGAAAACAAATCAATGTGGAATAAGTTTTTAGCGAAGTTGGTACTTGGAAATGCATTCGTCAGTGGCCCATGCATGGTTCCATGCATTACGCGGAAACATCAGAACTTCCTTCAGAAAACATCAGAGCTTTTCCCCAGAAGATCCGAAGTCCTTCTTTCTTTTTGGGTTTATGAGAAGGAAAAGGAATCATTATGCACAAAGCTTTCATGATTTATCTGGATCATTGAAAAACACGGCGGCTATATGCATGATTATCCATCATTCTTATGTTTGAGTCTGGTCTTCCAATCAATGGCTGCTTGAGTAGATAAGTATAATGATTTGAGGCATTGTCTAGCATGAGTTTGATGTTGAATAACACCTATTTGTTGATTTCAATCATGATTATCCATCATTCTTATGTTTGAGACTGGTCTTCCAATCAATGGCTGCTTGAGTAGATAAGTATAATGATTTGAGGCATTGTCTAGCATGAGATTGATGTTGAATAACACCTATTTGTTGATTTCAATTTTTACCCTTCATAATGATTTTACCCTTTTCCTCGACATAGGAGGGTGAAGCTGATTTCTCTGCAAGGATGCTCACTGCTGACGACAGGAGGTCTGGAGTCGGTGCTCCTTTGTTGGAAAGAGCTTCAAAGACTTAGAGTAGTATCATGTAACAATATAACAGACAGTGAAACAACTCCTGCCTTGGCAACCTTATTTTCTGTTCTGAAAGAGTTGACATGGCGACCAAATACCAGATCTCTCTTGTCATCAAGTCTTGCTGGGACTGGAATGGGACTGAAAGGTGGCAGGTTTTTCAAGAGCTTAAAGCCTTAACTTCTTGATGGGAATCTTGACTTCGGTTGAATGAGCATCAAATCACTTGGCAGCAGTTCAGTGTTTGGATCAACGCACAAAATAGATAAGTTGTAATCATCATGTCTTATTTAGATGTCCATCATTATGATAACAGAGGATGGTTTGCTTGCTCGCTTACAGCAAGACTGCCGAGAGGAGTTTGTCATCATTAAAAGACATTCTAGTCCTCTCTCTCTGCCCACTTGTGTGTTGATAACCTGGATGTCCACAGCTCAGCATCAAGTTGTCATTGTGATTTAAGCCTAGTCCTGTTTCTTTAATGTTCAGCAAGGTTAGTCGTGCTAATTTTGTCATATTAAGTAGCTGTACTAACTTGCTAGGAGTTAGAACAAGCAAAAACACGAGTACAGTTTTATCCCCTCTTTCGACGTCATTGATATGTAACGTGTTCTAGGAATGAAGTTCTTTTTTCACAGAATGTAATGACATATTCTAGGAATGAAGCTCATTGTGGTTTCATGCAACTGCTATGGTGTTGTTGAATTTGTTTCGTCGCTATTACGTTCATGTCTCAACTGATCGGAGTTTTGAGTATAGGTTCTTCGACAGCATCGCAAGTTTGTGATAAATTTTCATAAATTTTTATACTCTACAAGATATGTTGATGAGGTACCGTGAGTGTTGATGGAAGTTCTCATTTTATTTTATTTTTTTCTGCTGATTATTCTAATTTGGCTGGTATCTATACAAATAAGTTAAGCAATCAAAAATTATTTAGTCATCCAAATTTGACAGAAATTACCATTTAAACTGAAAATGAAAATATCCACACTTGTCTTCTCATGAAACGTCAGCAATTTTCCCAATCGGTCATCGTATTTGAAGGCTGTCTTGGACTTTTCCTCTTCAAAATTTATACGTAAATGTAAATAAAAGATATAAATATTTGAAATAAAATCAAAGCAGTGATATTTGGCACGACTGCATACGTCAGATTTGACGTGGCAGGAAACAATTGGTGGAGTAGGCATGCAAGCGTCAAGCGGTCAAGCCACGTAGACAAAAAGAAACGCCAACGCGTTTGCGTTACATAATAAAACGGATTTTCAGCCCAGCGGAGTCAAAAACCCTTCTCGGATCTTCAACCTTCGACTCACGCCAGCATCTCAACTCGTTCTCTTCACCGAGTCGACTCAGGTCAGTTCTTCCCCTTCCTCTTCTCTCTCTCGATTTGTTCGTGTACCCTAGCAGATCTACTGCATGCAATTTTCAGTTTCGGGTTTTTTGTTGTTGTTAATTGCAGATCTTTTACTGCTTTTGTCGTGATTGTGTTATTGGATCTGATTTGTTGTGAAAAATCGAAACTTTTCGTTGCTCAATTGAGTATTAGGTTCTCTTAATTTCTGTATAATCATCTGAATTTTCTCTTTGTTTTCTGTATTTTTTGGTTGTTTGAAGTTGAACTCGACGGATTAGATGAACTGCGGTAGTGAATTTTCATTTTGATTAATATTTTGTTTATGCTAATATTCCTATTTTTCATTCAAATTGCCCTATTCTGTAGATCTCTGCATGCATGTTTTCATTTTGATACACAGATTGGTGCTTCTAGTCTAAACTGCAAATATGTAGAAATGGAGTTGATGGATTTTGACTACAAAAGTTAATCAGCTATGAAACGGTTCTGCTAGTCTCTGAACCCCAATTACTGTTAATGCAATACTATACGTTCTTGTTTGTTATTGTTTGGCCTTTAACTTTTTCTTTATGAGTTCTATTCTATATGTTTACAGAATTGCCAAATCTCCATCTAGGTCTGTTCTTAAATAATGCCAAACTCCTCTCCTAGAAGCTTTTTTGTCCTCTTTTTTTTTCTCTCCCTGTGTGTGTGGATTTGGTCATTTATTTTTGTACCATAAAGGTTGGATTGAGGTTCTAAATGTCTGAGTTGGTGGTAGCAGAAAATGGTTCTAGGCGGTGGAGCACCTGCCCCAAGGGGAAGTGCCGCAGCTACTGCGAGCATGCGAAGGAGGAGGACGACAAGTGGAGGTGCTTCAGGCGGTGCAGCAGGGACAATGCTCCAGTTTTACACTGATGATGCCCCGGGACTCAAGATCTCCCCGAATGTTGTTCTCATCATGAGCATTGGTTTCATTGCCTTTGTTGCCGTTCTTCATGTCATGGGTAAGCTCTACTTTGTGCGCAGAGAGGCTTAGAAGGAAGGGTGCTGTGCTAACAATAGGAAACAAGACTCAATATGGTGTTTTATGAATGAACCTCGGTTTTATAAGTTTTCTTTGTAATATGCGAATGGTTGATGCAGAGTTTTAGACATTTTTGGTTCAGTGTATTAGAACTAGAGCCTCCTTTACTTAAATGGAATTCTAGGCCCTCCTCCTCATCTATAGTTTGATCAATTTTTTGAATGAATGCTGACCATTGGATGGATTTTAGATAATGAGCACAATTTGACATCGATCGCTTGAATATAAAATGGACACGGTGCAAGACTTGGGACTCAAAATTCTTGTGTAAAATTTTGAGGCTGAGCAATCACTTGATGGTAAATCCACTGCACTGGTTTGCAAAGGCTTTTGTGTGGGGGAAGTACGATGAACTTTGAGAATGCGTACCCCCCCACCCAGGACCCTAGAAGGATGAAAATTGTGAGCTTCTTTACGTACTGGGGGATCGGGATTCTCTGTTTTTTCTTTCTGGTTGATGGAAAACTCTGTACGTGATGAGATACCAATTCCAAATAGGGCAAATAGTTTGTGAGAAACAGGGTTTGGTCCCAGCTCTCATACAAATACCAATCCTTGGTCTGCATTATCCTCTTCAAAATTCCCCAATTCTCTGTGTTGGGACACACCAAAAAATTGATCGAAGCATATTCAGAGTGTAAGCAAAACAAATCAAGCTAACAAAGACAAAGAAGCATAAAATAAAAGGTAAAGATGAAAACAAGCAACACAAAGAAAGAGAAAAAAAAGCAACAACCATTTACATGACGCGCAAACCTTAATAAGAGTAGCAATCGGAGAAAAACAAATCAAACCAAACCCTGAATTTGAAACAAAACTTTGCGAGACTCGAGCTGCTGTGACAAGATTCGAAGAAGATGAATAATATTATGAAGTAGGAAGAAGCATAAGGGGTGGCAGTTTTTGATGAACTCGCCTAGCAGGTTGTTTCAAGAAAGAAAAAAAAACCCGATTTGTGGGGTGTATTGTAAAACAAGTTCTTCATTCGATCCGAAAAAAACTCCGTTTTAGTTTTTTGTTAACCACTTGAGCTACAAATCCCTTGCAATTTCTATTTAATTATAGTTTTCAATATATTCTCTAAACATTAACGAACTGCTAAACCCAAAATGCTTAACCTTAATAAAATCAAAACAAATGAGACAACGTAAAAGATAAAGACCTCTCACTGCTACTTTTATTCTAATTTTTAGAATAAACCATAGTAATTCATTGATAAAAACAAATACAAGTCAAAGCAACTATAGTGCCGAATATGTTTTACTTTTCAAACTATTCAAACAACATCCCCTCTTCAATATAGTCTTATTATCTTAATTTTCAATACAGTTATCATTTCCTTAATGGAATTTATTATTACCCATTCAATTTGCTTACCATCTAGGAAGAATTTGTACTAAATTTTTTTGTCACTTAAATAACTCAAATTTATATGTATATCAAAAATAATTTTTTTTTAAATTTCTTTCTTAATTATTGAACACTTTCTATAAACTATTCATAATAATTATGAAATGGGCAATGATTTCCCCACTCCTATTTTATCCACTTACACTCCTTTTTTAGTTATAAAAAAGGAGTGTAAGTGGATAAAATAGGAGAAAAAGGAGTGGGGAAATCACCACTCTAAATAAAATAATAAACTTTTATGGTATTCCTAATATACATTTATATTGCAAGTATCTAGTGACTTTACTATTCTTTATAGTTAACATGCAATTCACGGTTAATTTTATATAATACATCATTATTTTCCATTGAATGTGTTGATACATATCCAAAAACCTAGGGTTTATTTTTCTTCTATCTTTTATAGTAATCATTTAAATAGTTTGTTTGGTGAGATTAAATATCATTGAACGGAGAATTCATTCACCTGAGACCAAAGGAGAGATTATTAAAATGTATAAATATTCACAAAGATATCATAGCTCAAGAGGTGAAGATCATTTGTCCTCGTAACTAAGGTGTTATGTGTTCAGCTATCTCTCTTATTCAATCCCGTAACTAAGGTCTTGTGTGTTCAGCTATCTCTCTTATTCAATATCGCTTGCATCAAAGAGAAAAAGATGGATAAAAAAATCCAACAAATTAACAAAACCAAATCTTAAGACATTAAGGACAAATCTACATAATTCTGGAACAGATACCAACTTCCCATAGAGGTCGCTTGCCATAAAAGAAGTTTCTATAAGGGCAGGCGACTAAAACCATATAAAAGCGCTTTATGAAGAAGACAGCTTATCAATTCCTAATGGTCAATAACCCAAATAGGAACCACAGACTGGAATAATTCTCTCTTCCCCATCAACCTCCTCCTCCTCTCTCTTACTGTGACAGCCAATAGCAGTAAAAACTAGGCCACATTTCAAGAACCAAGAGACTCCAAGAAAATGATGTCCCAAACAAGAAAGAACCCAAGTTTCTCCAAAACCGACAGCATGAGGACGAAACCCAGCATGAGGACGAAACCCAGCATGATGAATCCCAAGGGGGCTGCTACGAAGTCGTCGGAGTTGAATAAAAACGATGACACTCGTTCCTTATCAGCCAGAACCTTCAAAAACTCAAAGGCAACTTGGAGCATGAACCCTCTCATGGATGCTTTGCCACGATCTCCACCACGAGGTTGTAGCAGTGGCCCACTTAGCAGCTCTGCAACTCTTTGCACTTTCAAGGCAGATAGTTTCTACTCTGACCTGCCCACTACTGAGCCTTCCACTCCAAGAACCCAGGATAATTATATACAATATATATATATATATATATATATATTTGTGTGTGTGTGTTCTTAATTTTAAGATATTATAGCCCTTTTGATATTCTTCTACAATGGCTTTATGCGCTTATCTCTGATCATTTCATTGATAGTATTATGGATCATGGGAATTGAGAATTTTGCATGTGTAGCTTAGGTTTCATTTTAAATTTTCTAGAACGATTATTTCACTTCTCTGGCTCTGGTAGTGGTACATTGTCGATATTTTGTCAATATTAACAAATTTCAACAGATCATAATAGAGATCAAATATCGATGAGTCCTGATATTTTCACCAATCTTTCCTATTTCCTCACTCCCTTATATTCTCACCCCCTATTCTCTTGCCAAAATTTCCATCTTACAATCGCTCTTTTTTTTTTTCTTCTTTGTCATTGGTACCAGATATGATATGTGTGTGTGTGTATATATATATAAATTTTTTTTTGGAAATTTGATTACATATGTTTCATTCTTTTTCAACATTTTTCTTTTGTTTTAG